GAATTCGGAGGTGTTGGCATGAATTGAAGCGAATGCCGTCGTTCAACAACGACCAGGGAAAGAGATATCATCTTCGTCGTCGCATCCTCAAGTTCAGGTATCAGATGATTCTCAACTCCCGGAACAATCTCAAGTAGGCTATCGGGGAATCCATTATACTTTAACAAACAGAGAGAAGATGTTAAAAAAGATAGATATGCTTGTGTTTTCTGGTCCCTTGCTGTTTGATTGGATTTCCAGGGGGAGAGATTCTTTCGTATTGGGAGGTATAATGAGGAAGAGAAGTTGCATATTGTGTCCTTGTGATTGGAAGGTCTGGTGCTGAATTAGTTTAATGGAGAGATGTGTATAGAGCCGTTTCAGAGTTGGCAACAGTTTACAGCAAGAATGTTGGAGAGGTTTGCAGGTCCGATAGACAATGATCTTGCTGCAAGGTTGTTTTGCCTACAACAAGAGGGTGACATTGCTGACTATGTGAACGAGTTCAAGGCTCTAAGGAACCAAGTTACTGGCATTGATGAGAAGAACTTGATCAAAGTCTTCTACAGAGGCTTGAAATCTGAAATGAAAGAAGTTATTAGAATGAAGGAACATGTGGGACTAACCAACCACAAGTTAGCTGTGTTGAAGATGCAGAGTACTGCTTTTTGCAAGGTGATTGGTTCTGCTTTAAGAGGTGAAGGACAGAAGAGTTACCAACATCAACAAAAAGTCCGTACTATTAACATGACTCAGAAGCAAGGAACTGGGGTGGTTACCAACAAAGAGAACTCTTTTCAACGATCTAATTTGAGACCAAGACAACAATATTCTGATGCGGAATTAGACCGTATGAGGAAGGAGAAGATTTGTTTCAAATGCAAATCACCTTGGTCTCCAGCTCATAGAATGGAATGCCCTAACAAAATGCTATGCGTTCTGACGGTGATTAATGGAATGGAACTTGAGGTTATTGACACAATTGAAGAGGAAGAGTTACTTGCAGCGCAAAATCCTCAAGTTCTGCACACGTTATCACTTAACTCTTATTTGGGTATTGACTCTCCGAAGACTACGGAGATGAGAGGTTACTTCAATAATACAGAGGTGATAGTCATGATTGATAGTGGAGCATCTCACAACTTCATCTCATCAGAAGTTGTGAACAAGCTACGATTGATAGTTTATGCAGATAGTAGCTTGGACGTGTTGTTGGGGAATGGTGTAACTGTGAACGCATTGGGAGTTTGCAGATCAGTTACATTCATGCTAAGTCAAACCAACTTGACAAGTGACTTCATCTCTCTTGAACTGGGGAATGTAGATGTGATACTCGGCGTTCAATGGCTTGAAACATTAGGCAAATGCGAAGCGGATTGGAAGGAGCAGATCCTTTCATTTGTCTATGGAGGGAACAAAGTGACTCTGGTATGAGAGAAGGCTTTGCATTGCACCAAGTTCTATTTCAAGTCATTGAAACCAGTCTGTACAAGTGGTAAGATACGAAGAGAAGTGCTTCTTGCCACTTCTATAGAAACATCTCCATTTCCAGAAGTTCGTTTACAACTCTCAGAGATACTCCAAAAGTTTGTTGATGTGTTTGCCATACCGACTTCTTTACCACCATTTCGAGGCAAGGGACACACAATAAGCTTACAACCAGGAGTATCTGCAGTCTCTGTTCGCCCTTATCGTTACCCCCACGCAAGCAAAATAGCTATGGAACAGATGGTGAGTGACATGTTACTTTCTGGTATCATACGCCCAAGTACAAGTCCCTTCTCCAGTCCTGTTATGTTAGTTAAGAAGAAGGATGGCTCGTTTCGCTTATGTGTGGATTATAGGGCTTTGAACAGAGTTACTATATTGGACAAATATCCAATACCAGTAATTGATCAGTTGTTGGATGAGCTTCACGGTGCTTCGGTGTTCACAAAGTTAGATTTGAGATCTAGTTATCATCAAATCAGGATGGTGGAGTCTGACATTCACAAGACAGCTTTTTGCACCGTGGAATGTCACTATGAGTTCTTGGTCATGCCTTTTGGACTGACTAATGCACCAGCAACATTCCAGACCTTGATGAATCAGATATTGAAGCCTTTCTTACGCAAGTTTGTATTGGTTTTCTTTGATGATATTTTGATTTACAGCCGTGACGTGTCTAGCCATTTGGAACATCTTCACGCGGTGTTTGTAGTGCTCAGACAACAACAACTCTTTGCAAATCAGAAGAAGTGCACTTTTGGTGTTGAAACAGTGGAGTATCTGGGTCACATGATCTCTCAGGAGGGAGTGGCGACAGAAGCATCAAAGACTGAAGCCATGACTGTTTGGCCTACTCCTAAAACAGTCAAGCAACTGCGAGGTTTTTTGGTTTTAACGGGGTATTACAGAAGGTTTATAAAGAATTATGGCACCATGCTTTAACAAAGAGAGAGCAGCTTAAGCTGGCCTATTAACGGGAACTCATGGCCATTGTGTTGGTAGTAAGAAAGTGGAAACATTACCTTATGGGGAGGAAATTTCATGTACATACGGATCAACGGAGTTTGAAATTCTTGTTGGAACAGAAGGAAGTAAACTTGGAGTATCAGAAGTGGTTAATTAAATTGTTGGGATTTGATTTTGAGATTTTCTACAAACCGGGAAGTGAAAATAAGGTGGCAGATGGGTTATCCTGTAGCATGTCAGTGGCATCTCTGCTTTTATCTTTGACAGTACCAAAGGTCCTACAATGGAAGATTTGTTTAAGAAATAAAAGATAATACGGAGATACAAGAGTTGATCAAAAGAGTTCAGAAGGGGGAGCTGTCAGCTTCAAAGTATACAGTGGTGGATGAGAAATTATGGTCCAAACATCGTTTGGTGATTCCTAAATCTTCAAGGTTTATTGCAGTGATATTGGCAGAAGGTCATGATGGTAAGATGGGAGGTCATTCGGGGGTTCTTAAGACATTAAAGCGTGTGTAGCGGTCTTTTTATTGGGAAGGTATGTACAAGCAGACTCAGAAATATGTTGCAGCGTGTGCCGTGTGCCAGACTCACAAGCATTCAACGCTCTCCCCAGCTGGCCTAGTACAACCATTACCAGTTCCAGAATTGATTTGGGAGGACATTACTATGGATTTCGTGGAAGGGTTGCCTACTTCAAATGGGTTCAATGTGATTTTGGTCGTGATTGATAGACTCAGTAAGTATGCTCATTTCGTGAGTCTCAAGCATCTGTTCACAGCTATGGACGTGGCCAAGAAGTTTGTTGCTGAAGTAGTAAAGTTACATGGTTTTCCTAAGAGTATAGTCTCAGATCGTGACCGAATCTTCTTGAGTTCTTTTTGGTCAGAAGTCTTTCGTTTGGCAGGTACTATTCTCAAGTATAGTACGTCATTTCATCCACAGACGGATGGCCAATCAGAGGTGTTGAATCGGTGTTTAGAGACATATTTGCGGTGTTTCTCTTCTAGCCATCCATGAACGTGGCACTCGTATTTAGCATGGGCTGAATTATGGTACAATACCACTTATCACAAGTCTCTGCAAACAACACCATTCAAGGTAGTCTATGGGCGCGATCCTCCTCCTATTTTGCGATTTGAACCAGGGTCAACAACAAATTTCGAGTTGGAACAAGCACTCAAGGACAGGGATGAAATGCTAAAATCATTGAAGAAGAATTTACTACGAGCTCAGGAGATTATGAAGCTCCAAGCTGATAAATCCAGACGAGATGTGGAGTTGGAGGTTGGCACTATGGTGTATTTAAAGTTACAACCATATCGACAGAAGAGCATGGGGAGAAGGTTTTGCTAGAAATTGGCAGCAAAGTTTTATGGTCCTTACAAAGTGCTGGAGCGTGTGGGTAGCACAGCTTACAAGTTGCAGTTACCGCCTGAGGCACGAGTACATCCAGTCTTTCATATCTCTCAATTGAAGGCTGCTTTGGGTGACCATGAGTAGAGTAACGTCTTACCTCCCGGGTGTATTGTTGACAGTGATGTTCCTGTGGAGCCGGAGAGAGTGTTGGATTCGCGTTATGGTCCCAAAGGAGACTTAGAACTTCTTGTCAAGTGGGTGTGGAAGTCATCTTTGGAGAACTCTTGGATGGATTATATGGAGTTTATATCATGTTTTCCTGATTGTCAGCTTGAGGGCAAGCTGAATTTCGATGGGGGAAGTATTGATAGGTATAAGAAAGTATACTATCATAAGAAGAAGAGAGTTGAAGAGAAAGAGAGTGGAAACGAGAAGAGTTTGGTAGTTGGAGAGTAAAAGAAGAGTGACGTTGGAAGACTTGTTTTCATTAAGAGTGTTTGAAGTATTCGAATAAAGAAGGAAGAGTGGGAAGCTTCTATTTCATTTAGAGTCTTTTCTGTTACAACGGTTAAATAACGTCTTGTTGTTTACATTGGGTCTTATGCCTGTATTGTAGATTGTAGAAGACGAAATGAGTCTCGCTATCTCGTTCGCCATGAGAACGATGACGAGTGCTTAATCGATATGAGATTGAGTCACAAGTTGTACTTGCAAGCTTGATTCAATATAATAGAACTTTTCCTTTTCATTCTGTTACAAAGATTTCTAAAATCTATCAGTTGACCTTAGCGTTTATCAAGGGAAGGTTCTTCTTGTTGTCAACGTTGCTTCTAAATGGTCCGTCTCTCTTTACTTGTTGTGTTTTTGTTGTTGGTGTCGAGTTTCATGATGGTAATAGCATTCATTTCTTTCTTTCTTTCTTGGACTCTAATCAAAAACTTGTTAACACTTTTGTGTTGGGAAACAACGGTTTCTCGGAATCCAATTACACCCAGCTGACAAAACGTTACCAGAGATACAAAGATCAAGGTTTCATAATCTGTGTCTAACTCCTATGTTTGTTGTTGTTTTTTAAAAAAAAAAATCAAATTGTTGTTGTTACTACTTGTGTGATGTGTGAGATTGAAAAGCTATTAATTACTCTTAAATAATGATGGGATTCGCTGTGTTCATGGTTTGTAATATTAACGTTTTCATGCAATCAATTTATGTACCAAGAGCCTGGGACAAGCCAAAATGCTCATGCATTTGCTTGTACAAGGTTTAAGGCCGAGTACCATGTTTTCCAAAAGGTTATTGACCTATTTTGTGCCATAGTCAGGGGCGGATCCACGTGTTAAGTGGTGGGGTCACTTGATACCACAAATATAATATATTTCAGATTTTATGGGTTTTAATCATTAGTTTATAGTGGCAATTTGGTTAAAATGGAAATGACTGAACCCACAAATTTGGGTTCAACTCTATGACGTTTGTCTGGGTTCGCCCCTGGCCATAGTCATATTTTGCATCTCTTAGAAAGAAAAAACAAAAACAGCTCAAGAAATGTTGTTAGTTTGACGTTAATATGCTTGGTGAAATAGACATGAACTCTTTTTTACTTACTGGTGCATCTTTGTAACAAACATATTTTTCACGTAAAATTTGTCTTTCAGGTGTGTGTAAATGGACAAAACGCATCGCCAGTCTACAGATTCCTCAAGTCGAAGAAACCCACTTTCTTTGGAACAAGGATCAAATGGAACTTCACCAAGTTCTTGGTCGGCAAAGATGGCCAAGTCATTGATCGTTATGGCTCAACTGTCCCACCTCTCTCCATCGAGGTCTCTCTCTCTAGCTCTTTTTAACTCCTTTAAAAATGTCTTTTTATCTATTGCAATAAATATATATCTGTCTTAGCGGTTAGTTAATTCATGTCTTATGCAAAAAAAAAAAAAAAAAAAACAGAAAGACATCATGAAAGCATACTTGGAGATGCAGGAGATGTTAATTGAAACCTTGATGGAGACACAAAGAGGCTCTTGATGTTGGACTGGCTTGTGTCTCGAGTTACCGAATAACACCACCACATGTAAAAAAAAATTAGCTCTCTTTTCTAATTTATTGTGTGTGTGGAAGGAGCATTAATGTCTTACTCTTCCTACTCTGACTAAGTTTGTCGCTGCTATGGTAAAAGAGATGTATACACAAGTTTCCATTTGGGCTTAGTATTGATCTTCCGAAGAAATATCCCACAACTATTTGCGATTAGTTACTAATAAAAAATAAAGAAAGAGAGAGAGGGCTAACAGAAGAAAAAACCTAGCAATATATATTTGTGACTTTTGATTTGTTATATTATATGTACTACTCCCATAGTCTTAAAGTTGAAAACACTACAAATTGTTGTTTTCGGAGAGCTCTTGCATGCATGAAAAGGGATCTTAATTACTTTAACAATTATATCAGATTTTGTTGTTGTTGGTGCCCAAAATGACATACTCTCCTGAAAGAAAGGTCTACAAACAAACTAGCAAAGTCACGCAAAGCAAATGAAGTACTCTAATGAACCTAAGATCCCGCTGCATCTAATCCTCACATCCTCTTTGTGCCTCCTTTCACCTTAACTATAAAACCAACACCAACCAAAGATATCTCTTCACACATACACACACACACTCTCCATGGAAACTCTTTCTCTTGTAGCTGTTCTACTTCTGGCTCTCTCCTCTTCGTCTCTCACACGAGGCCAGAGAATCATAAAGATTCCACCACCACGTCCATTATGCGTCTCTCAATACGCTCTGGCTAACTACGCCTGCTCACGTGTCCCAGTGACCACTGTCCTACCTTCTACCCCCACTGCCCCACCTGCTCCCCATATCGATCCTTCTCCTCACCATGACCATGATGATGACCACCATCACCATGACGACGATGACCATGACCACCATCCCCATGATGATGATCATGACCACCATGGTCATGATGATGACCATCACCACCATGGCCATGACGATGACCATGACCACCATGGCCATGACGATGATGATGACCATGACCACGACCATCACGATGACGATGACCATGACCACGACCATGATGATGATGATGACCACGACCATGATGATGACGATGACCACGACCATGACGACGATGATGACGATGATGATGACCACGATCATGATGACGATGACCACCATGATGATGATGACCACGACCACGATCATGATGACGATGACCACCATGATGATGATGATCACGACCATGATCACGATGGAGACGATCATGATCACGATGACTACGATGACCATCATCACCGACACGGAGATGAGACGTATGCGCAACAAGATTGCTGCAGGTGGTTGAGGCAAATAGACAATGACTGCGTGTGCGACCTTCTGGTTACGCTTCCGCCATTGCTATCAAAACCTGCTCATAACTATACAGTCCTTGTGGATGACTCATGCAGCGTCACTTTCACCTGTGGAGGCAGACTTCTAAACTAGTTCTCTCGTGTCACTTCTCCTTGAAAGACCCTTTTTTTTTTTTTTAATTTTACATGTACTACGTTTGTTTTATTTCACACTCTTTAGTTAAATTGTTGTATGCTCACACTTGACCAGTCAAACCTCAACCCAAAAAATGTAAGCGGATTATCGTTGCGTGAGCCGTGAGCTACAGTCGCTCGATGCGCGCCATTGTATATGGGCCTAAGTTAATAAGTTTATCAGATTGTTGTGCGTCTATTATAAATTAGAGAATATTGGCTGAAACACTCTATCAGCCTCCCATATTAGTGAAATTAGTGAAATGCCCACGATTTGATATTAATAAATTATAAGATCAAATTGCCCTTCCTTGTTTCTCGGCCCTACTCTCTAGGCCTGCATCCGTAGCCTCACGCCTGCGCGTTTAGCAGTCAACTTCCTCTTTAACCACGAACCAAATTTATGTCCCAACCGTCCACTTTCAAAATTTAAATTAAATTTTATTTTTTTTGGTCCAATTCTTTTAGTTTAAACACAAAACTGATTTTTCAGTTTCCAATTTCCATTGTAAAAAGGAACTGAAAATCTCATTCTCGAGAAACCGTTATTCCCCATTTTCTTTTTCGATTCATCCATGGAAGATCTTCTACTTCCTCTCCGTATTTTTTCATGTGGTGATGAACCTAATGGCGAACGAGTCAACTCGTATCACAGGACTCGGAGAACCGAGTTGCTTATTGAATCCCTAGACGAGGAAGAGATGGAGTTCTTCAAGAATTCCCAGTTCTCCAGAGTTCTATCTTTAGACGAGAATCCGCCTTTTTCTGGCGCTTTTGGTCATTTCATTCTTATGAGGATGCTGAAGACAGAGAAGAAATACGAGATATGGTTGATTTTCTCCGGAAGACCAATCAGAATTTCCCTTAGGGAGTTTGCTATTGTTACTGGGCTTAACTGCAACCGGATTCCTACTCAGACGCGGAAAAAAAGGAAGAATCCTCTCAAAGAGAAACTCTATTGGAATGAATTGTTTGGGTCTCTTAAATCGTGTTCTGTTGATACTGTTATCGAGATGCTCAAGACCCACAAGGTGAAGGATAGGGAGACACGGATCAAATTTGCATGTCTAGCAATTACGGCTTCAGTTTTACTTCCATCTTTTCACACTCCGAAAATTGTTCCTGAGCATGTGGAGTTAATTAGGGATATTGATGATTTTATTTCTTATCCATGGGGGCGTTCTTCTTTGGAACTTGTAACATCAATAATACTTAAGAAGGATGCAGTTGCCCTCGCTCAAGACTCTTTCGCTGTAAGAGGTTATGTGGAAGCTATTCAACTAGTCATGATTGCTGTTGTGCCTGCTTTGAAAGAAGAAGTTATCACCAATGCCCCTGTAGTTGTAGTTGAATCTGATAGTGAGAGTGAGAACCCGGCGGGTGATGTTTCGGGAAATTTGAACAAGGTTAACTCCACGCCAAGATGGATAGTTAATCCCAAAAATGCGAGGGACCTCAACGTGGAGTGTCACGTTCGACTCAATACCTTCTCTATATTTACCTGTTAACACAACGCTTAACCGTTACTGGACTTAGTAGCCGTTAACTATTTGCTTTACTTCTGTTAGAGTATATTAGCGTAGCTTAATCCCATGCTTATTTTTTGTTTTACATGAACTATCATCTGAATTACAATAATAAATTATTCTTAATTGGATCAGTCTTATTTATCTCTACTTGGACGTAATCGGAAGTTCTCTTAAATTTCGCCTTTTTAAGTTTAACAGCTAATGACTTGCCTAGCCGCTAATTTTAATGTTAACAACCAACGTTGTGTTAACGCTTTATCCAGGTTGAAGTTCAATCCATTCTTGATCCCCAAGATGATGATTGGCTTTCTGATAAGGACTTTAGTTGGGTTGATGAAAGCGATGACCCTGCCGTCGACAATCTTGTTAAACTCATTAACGATGGGTTCTTGTTCAACAATGACATGTTCCGTGGTGGTATTTCATCTAGTGACCTATCAAGATCAAATGTCTCCAAGCAAAGGGAAAAGGAGGTCAAGGATAGACATGACAAAGCAAATGTCGGTGGGTCATCAGGGAGCGGTTATTGGTGAAGGCATTATTGAACCTCTAGCTAATCTAATTTCAGAGAAATTATGTGGCAACATTGTTGGTATTGAGCATAAAATAGCAGCCGCTGTTGAGAAGAAGGTTGCCGCTAGTCTTGTTGGAGTTGAGGGTAGACTAAACACGGCTGTTATCAAATACATGAAATCATTGGAAGAGGGAGTCATCAAGGCCATTATTGATTTTTTGGGAAAGTCTACCTCAACAATTCCAACTGAACACGACATTCCCCAAACAGATTTTCCAAATCGCACCCCGGATAAGGACAAGGACACTGAATATGCATCTCATGCTGGAGATGATAACGAGACCTCTTCCAAACCTTCAGAGCCAAAGGAGGACGACCCAGTTAGGCGGGTCCTAGATGACATTCAGGCATCCTCCAACAATGAGGTAAGATTTCTCTCCAACTACTAAAATTTTTTTGAGAATAATTACACCAACATTTCATTTATTCTCCATGAAATCAGTCAACTGAACACGAACACGTCGTTTCACCGGGTTTAGCAACACAACTCCCTCCAGACAATGAGAGGACAGATATACTATCTCACGAGGTAGCTTCGACTATCAATCATATTAACAGTAAATGAAAGTATTATCGGCTAAAGTTTGTGTTAACCGTTAATATACTCTGTTACCAGGTAGACGACAATGTCTCACCTTCTGAGCGTCTTCTTGAAACCTCAAGCGGCAACAACTTGGCTGCACCAAACCCGGTATTTTCCCTCAAATATTTAAAATAACCTAATTTAAACCCTATAATAATTTGATTATCCTCCATACATGCAGTCTGGGATAGAAGCACCTTCTTTCTCGATAGGTTTAACCCAAGAAGAAACAGCTCATCCAATTCTTGATCCCAAACCGTTGGTATATGTTCTCCCCTCCGATCTACCAAAGGAAGACAACCCCGATACTCGAAGAAGCAAGCGTTTAAGGGTAGCATCAACAGCTTACCAGGACTTCCAGTTAGACCCCAAAGTCAATGCGTCTTTCCGCATCCTACCAAACATCGGCAAATTTTTTGAAGACCTTCAAAAACATGTACTACGTCTTGGGTAAGTCTACAGTTACAATTTATTTTTACCGTTAAATAATTTATTGACTGTCAATAACTATCTTAAACGTTAAATATTTCAAAAAGATTTGTCCAAATCGATGGCCCTACTGCACTTACCGCCAAAGAGTTTCTTGATATAGCTTGGCGGTATAGTCATATGTCTCCCCAGGTAATTATTTATTGCACTACTTTACTAACATTATGTTTTATTTGTTATACTAACAAGATTTCTACTTTGTATTAGACTATGGATCCGTTGATGCGTTACTTGTCTGACGAGTACGCGACGCGTTCTAAATCACTCAGGGTGTACGACACTAGCCTTCCTGCTTCTTTGATGCGTCATTACGGAAGGTTTGTCAAAACGGCTGTCAAAGACATGATCAGAATCAAGTACAATGAAGATGTTTTGGTGAGACTACGTGACAACCCAGCTGACCGACTGTACTTCCCCTTCAACATTGATCGGAAACATTGGGTAGCTGTGGTTGTTGACATTAAGGATCGCGTTATCCAAGTCATGGATTGCCACATCGCTATGAAGACCGATGTAATGCTGAAGAAAGAGCTCAACCCGATTGCTAATATGATTCCATATCTGACCGGAGGTTGGAATCCCGAAGCAAGTAATGAGAGCCTCACTGCATTCACTATCACGAGGTCTAGAGGCATCCCTCAATCAGAAAAAGCAACCGACGCAGCGGCTATGACTGTTCTTTTTATCGACGCTCATTGCCAAGTGGGTGTGGAAGGTGCGCACTACAAGAAAAATGGGTTTTAATAGCATACCAGAATAGCGTTTTTTACGATTATGCTATGTTTTTGATACTCGTGTCTTAAACATAGCGTTTGCCTTTTACGAGACGCTATGTTCGAATGTCGGCTTAAAAAAATTAAAATAAGCGTACGGTTTTGAAGGAGACGCTTATGTATTATAGCAAAGCAACATAAAAACTGTTATCTTTACTTAGCGCGGTAATGCCCGCGACACTTAGAAAATTTTTGGCTCCTAAAATCAATTAAGCTCCAAATAAAAAAATAGAAAACCCCCAAAAATTAGGGTTATCCCATCTCTCTCGTTTGTGTCTCCCCCATTTCCTCCATTCGATCGATAATCTGAAACCAAAACCTCTCATATCTATGAATCTAGTTCACATCAAATCTCACTCTCAATTATCAAGCCATTTACTTATCTCATCCAGAATCGGCAAAATCACATCTCCTCTGCTAGAAATCCATCTCCAATCAGTCGAAGGTGAACTCGGGTTTTCTCTTATTGTCTCCAAATTTGATTGTTAACCGTTTATCTCTTTCGTAATAGTGATTTAATTGCATGTTTAATTGATTCGTTTATATGCTCTCTGATGCAGGGAGATTTTGTTCCAAAGTTTTCGATTAAGGTATCGTTTTTGTGCTCTTTACGTTTGTCGATGAAGATTTTAATTTTCTGTGTTTATTAACATTGTTGTCTTCTTTTGTAGCTAGGTCAAATCAAAGGCTTTGACATCTATCAGGTAAAATTAGTAACAAAACAATTCCATTCAAGAACTTTTGTTTTGTTTTGATCTTTGTGGGTTGATAAAGTTAAATCTTGTATGTAAACTTTGTTTGGAGCTGAAACATGGATAAATCTTGGGTTTTGTTACCAAGGTAATTACTTCGCTTCACACTCTTTTAATTTCTCGTTTTGTGTATCTCATTATGCTAAACTCTGTATCTCTCACTTGTGGTTACTCAACAGGAATAGCCTTGAGTATGAGAAAGGAGCCAGTGACTTCGTGTCTTCTTCATCGACCCGTTTAGGTGTTCCAGCTGAAATGT